CAAAATAATATTGAATGTAAACTGTAATTGAAAAATAAAATGTAAAGTTCTTTTCAAAAACAAAAAAAGCAGCAACTGGAAGACATGCTTTAGACACACCTTGTCCAGCCACACATCCTGCCCTTCCCTCACAATAACCAGAATGACAGACAAACAGAGATCCTCAAAGACTCATCTGAAGAGACATCCAGGAATGACTTTAAGAAAAGCCAACACCCTGAAAGGGAAATGCCAAATGCAATAAACAGACAACTGATACTTGAAGAACAAATTTTAAAGTGGTAACAGATGAAGAATTTAAAATCTATGTGATTGATATTCTCAGAGATGTATTAGTCCATCATACCCATAAAACAATAATTGTTGCAACAAGAGGAAACAGCCAGATTCATTGGAAGTAAAAATGGTATCAACCAATAAAACTCAATAGCTGGATTAATTACTGTTGGAAGACAATTCTCCTTTAGTCTCTTGCATTTCTGTACATCTTGCACAGTGACGCACTAACTCCCCTTGTTTTACACTATCTTTTCAAGGATGTTTATTTAGTAAATGCCTTGGAAAATAGAGACAGCGTCTCCCTCCAGAGCAAGGCTTGCTTACTATTCAGTATAATGAAAATGTTTCCCTCTGGAGCAAAGGGCAGACATGCTTATAAAAAGACTCAGAATCCCTAAGCTCAGGGTTCCTCTTCTGTCACACAGCTTCCTGTATGTGCAGATAAGATCTGTCCCTTTTTGTATCTCCCTGTGGGAATTAGGACTCAAGAAACCAACACAAATGCTGATACTCTGGCTACTGGCATTGTGTGAGTAATAAACTGTCTTTGTCTCTGACCCAGGAGTCTCATGTCATCTTCTAGTGTCCATAAAACTCTGGCAGGCTAACTCACAGATAGAGGAGAATCTCAGATCCTTTACGGTTCTTAATTATTTTAATGGTAATACCGAGAGCCTAAAATAATGAACTGAAAGATCAAGTCAAGATATTCTCCCAGAATTCACCTCCAAAATAAATACGGGGTATGAGAGATATTTAAGAAACATTCATGATAGAGCCAGAGACTCTAATATGAAATAGGAATTCTGAATGAACAGAGAGAATAGAAATAAGTAAATAATCAAGAAAAATAGAAAAAAAAATTCTCAAACCCGAAGAAAGATTTAGATGGAAAAGGCCATAACATATCAATGAATTACTCCATACATTACTTAATTACGAAGAGAAAAGGCTGCATCTACAGTGGCGAAAGGTGGCAGAAACCACCTTAACCAAGCAATCAATAACACTTAACTAACATCATTCATAATGGAACAAACGAATTCATGTGCTTTCTGACACTATGCACTAAGAAGAGCAAAATATCACTTCGATAATTTTCTTGCCAAAAGGTTTACTCTTAATCTAGAGATATGGAAACAATCAGACAAATCCAATTTGAAAGACATTTATAAAACAACTGGCCTGGACTCTTCCTTCAACAATATCAGTGACATGAAAGACAAAACAAAACAAACAAACTAAAAAGACTGCTGTTGTAAATAAAAGGAAATAAACAGAACAACTAAATACAGTCCATAACCCTTAACTGGATCACTTGATTTAAAAAAAAAAAAAAAAAGCTATAAAGGAGATTATTGGAACAATTGTGGAAATTGTAATATAGACTATTAAATAATAGCATTGTATCAAATTGCATTGAATCATATTTAATCAAAGATTTTTTGGTGCAATAATTATTTAGAGATTGTGTAGGAAAATATCCTTGTTCACAGGAAAAATATGCTGAAGTAATTAGGATAAAGTGTTATATTGTCTGCAACTTATCCTTAAATGGTTTACATATAAAAATTATGCATGATCAATATAACATACATATGAAACCTATATACAATATATACACACACAAATACATGCGAGAGACAGAGGCAGAGACTAAAATGTAAAAAATATGGCTAAATATTAACAGTTGGTGAAACTAGAGTATCTGGGTGTCCACTGTATTATTCTTGAAAGTTTCTGTAGGTTTACTAATTTTCAAAATAAAAAGTGCCAATCAAATGCCAAGAAAAGATTAATATAAAAAGAACCTATCCCTAGACATATTTAGGAGTCTTCTTATAATTCAAAAATTTAAAGATAACATCCTAAACTTTTTTCAGAGAGTTTGTGAGCTGACACAGGTACTAAACTTCAAGTTCAACATCCAAGTGTTTCGTTCTTGTTCACCCACATTAGTAAAGCTAGGTCTAGAAAATGAGGGGAAAGGATATCACTATTACAATCTCAAAGGCATGTTTCAGGAATGCATGAATAGTTATTTAATTTTTAAAAAGCTATAGTGTGACATTTGTCTCATACTATGTATGAATAAAGAATCCTACTTCATGGCAATTCATTTATTGCGTTAGAGCCTGGAACTGATTAACCACGATAAACGAGGACCAACTATGTAGGTAGAATTATTACAGGCAGTAAGTGTAAACAAAATGGTCATGGATTGGATTCTACTGGTGCCTTTGTTGTAAAGGTGTACCTATGCGGCAGGTAGAGAGAGGACTCCAAGAAGGAACATTGCACTACCTTGTGTCCTCCCCTATTCCCATTGGAATAAAACCATTGGGCACTATCGTCCTGACCCCAGGACAGGAGCTACTGTGGCCCCAAAGCCAGGCAAAGCCCACAGAGCAGAGAACTCCATCTGTATGTATCTTCTTTGCTGCCCAAACCATACTCCATTCTCCAAGGTGTCTCAACCCCACAGGAGTGTAGCAGGAGCCATGTATGCTTTCATACGGCTCTATCCCTCAGAGTTCTGAAGAGCAGAGGGTTCTTGGGGGAGCCCCCTCTAGCCTCTCTCTCAGTCCTTGGCCACACTTGCTCAGACTTGCATCCTATGGCTGACCCTACCCAGAGGTATAGGGTAAATGGACTACATTTGCTGCACTCTCCTGGGAAGCACAATGCAAATGCTTTTAAGAGGTCAGCGCCCTCCAACTGTGATGTGGTAATATGCTAAATTATGTGCTTAATTAATTTCCACCCAACAGCATGCCATAAAAATTGGAAAAGCAATTCCATTACCCAGGATCAATGTGCATAAAGCATACTCAGAATGATCAAAAGGTCTCATCAGTGAATTTTCATTTGTGCTTTGGCTAAATATTCAGAGGTTCATTTTTCCTACAGGCTGATGAATGGTGTACAGTTCATCACCACTTAATTGCTTGTCTTTTTCTCCTTGTGTTGCTACCATATGGGCTTGAAATTATAGGGATGAGATTTTTCTAGTTCCTTTCAGATCAGGAACCCAGAGAAAAGCTTCGTGCTAGATTTTACCATGAACAGACATCCTCTTCACAAATTTGTTTCATTTTCTGTTTATTTGTTTTGTTTGTTTTGTTTTAAACATGCAAAAACAATACCACCGGGATACCAGAATTAGAGAAACTGAGCTAAGAGATAACCTGGTCTAGCTACTATCTCATGAATATTCAGTGATATGAGCTGTAACAATTTCCTAACTAGTCTAGACTGTATCTACATAATACAAACAAAATTGGATGAAAGAGTAAAAGAAACAATATACCTACCCTTTTCTCCAGACTACATATTATACAACAGTTTTGTAATTATTTGTATATTTTTAAAATTATCTCTCTCCAGCACTTTCTGCTCCATGAGACAAAGACTATGTCTTTCTTTTACTTTTGTATCTCTAGCATCAAATCCAATACCTGGTACTTAGTTGACCCTCACGAAATATTTGTAAGGGAATGGACTGAATGAGTGAATGAGTGAGTGGCTGACAAAGCCAGGTGTAAAACCCAGTTCTCCGGCCTCAGAGGCCATGCCCCTGGAACCAGGAGAGCCACCTTCCAATGCACAAAAGTTCGAGGCAGAAGACATTAACAGAGGATAACTGGGCCACAGACAATAACTCCCGTTTAATTTTATTTATTTTATTTTATTTTATTTTATTTTATTTTATTTTATTTTATTTTATTTTTTATCCTCACCCGAGGACATTTTTTCAGATAGAGTGGGAGGGAGAGAGAGGAAGAGAGAGAGAGAGAAACATCGACGTGAAAGGGACACATCGAGTGGCCGCCACCCGCTCGGCCAACCAGGGCCGGGGACAAACTTCAACCGAGGTACATGCCCTTAGCGGGAACCGAACCCGGGTCTCTCTGGACCACAGGCCAACGCTCTAACCGCTGAGCCAAACCGGCCACGGCACTCCCGTTTAATTTTATATAAATTATGGCTGAGCCAATCTGGAGATTTGATTCCAGAAAGTGTTTATTTATTTGCTTGAGATTAGTCACAGTAATTCTCAGTGGACTGGCCGTGCGTCACTGTGGACGGCTACCCAGTGCATGGCACTTTGGCTGATGGCACTTCGCGGCCTCGGCGGAGTCAGGCTGGATCTTGAGGCTGGCCTCATTCCTCAGGGAAGGAGGCACTGCAGCAGGTTGGGGAGCCAGGGACGTGGAAGGCAGGCCCACAGTCTCTGCTGCTTCCCACAGGCCAGGAGAGCCAGTGTCGGGATCAGAGAGACCGGCAGGAGGCCCATTCTTCCTGCTGAGTGCCAGGTGCCCCCGGCCCTCTTGCCTGCCCCTGCATCTGAGGACCACAGAGCAGCCTGGTTTCAGAGGCTGAAGCCCCCGTCCCAAGCTAACCTGATCTAGCTCCCTAAGAATGGGTTACAAAGCACCAATGCTCCATCAAAGACAGGACCTTTACGTTTATCTTGATCTTCAAATTGCATCGACCTCAAGCTATCTTTCTCAGAATGTTGTGAAAACATGCTACACACACACACATTTATGTTTATATATCAATTATTTTAATATTCAGAAATTAGTGTTCATGGAGCATTGGATTCAAAACATAGCCAACCTTTGTCAAGACATCTTGGGCATACAACTACATTTATGACTCCTTATCTCCTCTTTACCAATGTCCCTCATCCCTGACCCCACCTCCCTGCCCCTTAGGAAAGGAGCCTGGTGGGGGAACCAAGAGTTTGGATTGCAAAATTGAGGAGAGTGCTGAACCACCTGCTCTAGAAGACTCCTCTTCATCCCCCGTGGATACGCAGCAACATTCCTGGCAGGTTTCCACAGACATTGAGAACACCGAAAGGTAAGTGGGCAGTTACCCTAAATAGACTGCCAATCCTCCTCCACTCAATACTCTTTGGGGCTACGGAGTGTCAAGATTTTCTGTTTCAGAGTCAGAAACAGAGCTTTGGGAAAACCGTCGAGAGAAGTTTAGGGTCCAGACTCCGCGATGGAACTGTAGCAGAGGCTGGCTCCAGGCCGTTGCTCTCCTCGCTCCACCGCGTTGCGTCTCCATGGAAATAAAACAGTGTGCTTACTTGGAAAGGGAGAAGGTTGGATCTACATACCATCACAGCTCCCCCAAGCTGTGCCAACATGCCTCCTCCCATCGGTTCTCGGATTTCAGATGTACGGAATGGCCCGCTTAGCTGCCAGTCAGGGGCTGAGCCTTCTGTCTCCTTCCCAGCCTCTTGCTGGGCTCCCTTCTCTTATTCTCCCAGAATGTAGCTAAAGGCCCCTTAGCGGTCAAAGGCAGTTAATGCATTTGTTTTGGTGAGCTCCCTGTGAGAGGGAGTTCCTTTCATGTGAAGAGATTTTACAGTGATTTTATTTCACTTGAGGAAAGGGTGCAATGATAATGGAGTAAGAAGGGCCATGTCTCATCTGGATGCCAAAGACTGCCATTCTGTGAGGCAGAAGGACAAGTTCCTTGTTTATTGGCCTTCACACTGATATCTTGTCCTTTGCTGCTAATGTCCCCAGCGCCTGTGCAAAGCAGCCGAATGAATGCTGGGCATTCCCACGGAGTGCTCTGTGTGTGTGTGTGTGTGGGGGGGGGGGTCGGGAGGGCGGTTGAATCATTGACAAGAAACATTTTATTTTTTAATTTTTGGAAATGTAACACACAAGGGCATTTATAGCCATTGTGGTTCTGCTTTCAGATTGTAATATAATTCTAAAGCTAATTGCCGAATTTCTGTGTTTATAGAAAATTGAAGCATGTGGTAATTATGTGCTATTAATAAAACTTGGATTTTGTATAAGCTTGGAAATCCAACAATTCAAACAATAAAGCTGTTTGGCACAGTTTGCTAGAACTATAGACACATGATGAGGGAGTGATTTATCTTAATTTTAAAAATGGAAACTGCTTTGCTCCATTCCCAGGAAGAACTATCTGCCAGGCGCCCTGGCCAGGGCATAATCCATCAGCAAAGCCCTTCCTTTTCAGAAGCCTTGCAGAGCAGCCACGGCCAGCCCCATGCTCGCACAAAGCAAGCTGGAGCTGGCAGTAAGAATAGGAGAGCGTGGCCTACAGGGCTGGCCGTGTTTCAGTTCCTCCCCAAAGCCTGGACTCAGACTGAGGGAGCTGGGAATGGCTGAGAGATGTAGGCACACAGACCTGTCTGGGAGGGTGGCTTCCTCAGCTCCCCTGTGTTTCTGCCCTAAGAGATCGGTGGCTCTCTAACTGGGCTGCACATTAAAATCACCAAGAAGACTTTTTAAAAACACTGATGACCGAACCCCACCATCAGCCAACCAGATCAGGCTCTCTCGGAGCAGGGCGGGGCATGAGGTGACTCTCCCATGCAGGGCCAAGCCTGAGAGCTGGTGCTCTCCAAGGAGACCCTGCCTCAGTGTCTCCTACTGCGTTACCAGCCCTTCCCCACCTCGTGCCTGCTCACCACCACCCATCCCCTCTACCCTTGGGTTTCACAGGAAAACAAGGTACCCTGTACTTCTGGATGCAGGGTCCCGTCCTCCTCCTCCCTCTCCCCTCCTTCTCTTCCTAGACATACCCTTGGGGGCTGATCAGCATGCAGCACCACAAAGACGCATCCGTACACCTGTGACTCAGGACCAGAGGCTCTTCTCTGATCTCAGCCAGGTCCGTCTGAGGGCGGAGACCAGGGCTCCCACGGCAGGATGCCCTAGGGACATCTGTGCCAGAGAGGTTCTCTTTCCTCCCAGAGCCAACCCATCTCAGATTCTTTTTCTTATAAAAGCAAAATCAATTCAGTATTGGCCCGTTGTAAACCAGGACTCGTACAGTTAAGCACAGACCTTGTCCTTCCATTGTCTCATAGAACAGAGATTGCATTGCCAAGATTTACAGCTGATGACTTTTTCTTTCTCTCCATTTTACAGAGACATGCGAGAAATGAAAAACCTTTTAAGCAAACTCAGGGAAACTATGCCTTTACCACTGAAAAATCAAGGTGAGTCATGTCATTTCCTTTTGAGGTGGAGGATGTTTTTTAACATGAGAACCTTGGAAGTTGTTTCTAGAGAAATTAAAGCAATTTTGCTTTGTTTTGTTTTGTTTTTACACAAACAACAGAAAGCACTGAGCGTCCATGAGTTTTTCCTCAGAAATGAGGATGAGAATGAAATCCCTCAGGTAAACAGTTTGCCCTGAGGATTGCCCAGGTGTACCCTGACCTCAAGGTAGACCACCCTCCGCTGACCCTGCGCCAGGAACACTGAGTCATTGCCCGAGCTGGAGCTGGGGGAAGCTCTGGGCCAGGAAGGGCTGAGGGCTTGGCCTTTGCCTTGAAGAAGTTTACAGCCCCGTGGAGAACACTCCAAGGGAAGATCGCTGCCACCCCGACGTTTAATTATCTAACGAAGTGATCGTAATAATTAACGTATATTTAGAATGAAGAGTGTGCCATGACCATTCAGCACCCAACTAACACATGGCGTTTATACCACCAAGCAATTCTTGGACGCCAGCTGGATGTCCTACAATTCAACTGAATTCTGACACTACCTGGATATAAAACCAGACCCCACAGATGAAGGGCTTCGTCCTAAAGACTGCCCCTCCTGCCCCCCCCAACACACACTGCGGCCGCCGATGGCAATGTAAGGGTTGTCACCTGTGCTTCTGACCACTGGCTATAGATTGGAGGTTCCAACGACACCCCTTCATGGGTTTGATTAATTTGCTAGCGTGGCTCACAGAACTCAGAGGAAACTTTCACTTATTAGATCACTGGTTTATTATGAGAGGAATAGCCAGGTAGACGAGATGCACAGGACAAGGTGTAGGGGGAAAGGGCTCGGGGCTTCAATCTCTCAGCAGGTGCACCACTCTCTCCAAATCTCCACATGTTCACCAACCTGGAAGCGCTCACAACCTTGCGGGGTTTTATGGAGGCTTCATTAATGGCGTGATTAATTAAATTGTTGGTCATCAGTTACTGAAATCAATCTCCAGCCTCTCTCCTCTCCCAGGAGGTTAGGAGATAAGACTAAAAGTTCCAAACCTCTAATCACATGGCTGGTTCTCCAGGCAACCAGCCCCCATCCTTAGGTGTTTCCCAAAAGCCAATTCATTAACATAACAAAAGGTACCTTTATAGCTCTCATCTCAGGAAATTCCAAGGGCTTTAGGAAGAAAACCAAATATATATTTATTATAAATCACAATATCACAACTACTATCCTAAATACTATAGATTATTACTCTTTTAACTGATTTAATTCTAATAACATCTTTGAGAGAAATGCTACTAATGTTTCTAACTTGATCAAGGTCACACAGACTATAAGTAGAAAGTCCGGGAGGTGACTTCAGGCAGTCTTTCTCCAGAACTCTCCTGTGGGAGGATACAGCCTAACACAGAAAGGGAAAGGGATATTCCATGAGGGAGGGACCGCTGTAAGCTTTTATTAACTATTGTATCCGCAGTACCTAGAGCAACCCTGGAACGTAGCAGAGTAACACTGGCCATGAACCACGGATGTTTGTTAAATCTACACCCAACTTTGCAGCCCCAGGGTCTGAAGCTGTGTACAAAGGACTAATAAGTAATTTCACTAAGCATATATGGACAGAGCAGCCTTAAATGAAGCATCAGCTTCAGAGACTGGGAACAGAGGTGGGAAAGGATCTTTAGAGGTAAGAAAGGAATCCTTGTGTTTCTGTTATCGGCTGGGGGAGCTCCACGTTTCCCCTGGTTGCTGGTGGGAGTAGGCTTCTTGCAATGTCCCGGGAAAAGGAATTTTCTGAGACTTGCACTAGAGGTTGAGATATTGTAGAAAGCTTTATTTCTGTGGACTCATACCCCTGAGCTTCCAAGGCCCCATTTCCCTTTGTCCTAGCAAGGAAGAAGTCCCATTTGGCTTTCAGTGGGGCCATGGTCAAAGCCAGTGTGCAGAGTTTTTGTTCCATGTCTGCACGGTCCAACACAGCACCGAACTACCTTAATTTGTGTTTCCAGTTGCAGTCCATTAGTCTCTTGTGTATGGGGTCTACATGCCCATGGACCATGCAGCTATGGAGGGAACATGGGCAGGAGCAAAGCTAAAGGAATCAGAGAGCCAAGAGCACCAAGAGCCACACAAGAAAGATTCTTTGTCTAGGAAACTATGTATTCCCAAATTTTCATGGGCTTTTAGTGGCCCTGCCCACTCTGGCCAATGATCTCTGTACCCAGGTTTGAATGACCGGCTCCTTCCCTATGTCACCCCAACTTCACTGCACTTGCATCCATTTTCCCCTTTGTCCTGTCCCTTCCCCCAGTAATCTGTGGGGAACAGCCAGTGGTTCCCTGGGGGGGGGGGGGTGACATTACAGCTTCCTAGTGAAGCTGCCCAAATGGCATGCCCGCAATGTCTGGCTCTCCCCTTTGCTCCTTTCCTGTTATTAATATCTAGCTAATTAAATGGTATCATTTCCACTGAGCAGAGCTGGGCAGGAGGGAGCGCAGGCTGCTGCCTGCCCCTACGCGAGGGAGAGGACGTGGCAGCAGAGATGGAGGGCCTCAGGGAGCAGCGTGGCAGAAGGTGGAGAGGTGGACGTGAGAACACCAGACGAAGAGGCTGAGGAGAGTGTGGCCTCAGCCACATGGGAAGGAGGCGGGCGTCAGAAAATAAGAGGCAGGGGATGCGGCGTGTCGCGTAACTCAGAGCAACCCCCGAAGAGCCTGGTGACCAAGGCGAACTAGCTTGAGCCATGGGTGCGGTGTCGGGCGACCTGGTGGTCAGTGAAGAAGGCAGTGTTTTACCACAACATGTGACCACAGCATGCGAGCTTGCTGCTAGAAATAAGCGTGGTGGTTGGGAACAGGGACCTTGGGTTTGAACACTGGCTCTGCCACTGACCAGCTTTATCACCTGGAACAAGTTATTTAACTTCTGGAAATTTCCATTTCCTCATCCCTGAAAAAGAGATAATAGTATCCCGTAGTTCAGAGTTGTGGTGAGGATTAAATGATGCAATGCATGCCATAGACCTATTACCGACCTTGCAGAGAGCAAGCATTCACAAATGCTTCATTAGACTGTGGTTGTGAATGTTATTGTTATTATTTACTGGCTGGCCCACCGACTCAGCTCAGGAAAACTCGAAATCATCATCAAAGAGAACAATCCCTGCTACCAAGACAATATGTAGTATCCATGAAAGGTTGACCCTGGAGTTCTGAACACTGACCCCCAGACTTTGGATTTGGGTTCATGTCTGAAGCTATCATCAGCTTCCTAATGTGTTTGGCAAATGTACCCCCATCAGCAACACATGGGCCCCTGGCTGTACTTCCCGTCCAGCTGCCCAGGAGGATGCCTGCCCGGTGCCCCAGCCTGAATGTCACTTGGAGCATGGAGCCTCTCTCCTAAACCAAACCATCTCAAGCATTCCTCTACGTTTGACGAAAATTCACCCAACAGTTTTGAACCATGTATTAGTGGAAAAACAGAAATTTTCTTTTACTTAGGATGCTTTTATCATCATAAAAAGGGTAATATAAGCCCTGGCTGGTTTAGCCCGGCGGTTAGAGCATCAGCTTGTGGACCAAAGTGTCACAGGTTTGACTCCCAGTGAAGGGCATATACCTGGATTGCAGGTTCGATCCCCGGCCCTGGTCAGGGTCGTGCAGGAGGCAACCAATCGAAGTGTGGGTGTCTCTATCCCCCACTCCCTCCTTTCCACTTTATCTAAAAGATGAATGAAAACATATCCCTGGGTGAGAATTAACAACAACAACAAAGTATAATATAAATATTTCTGTGTAGCTTTATATCACATTTATACACAGAAAAATAATTTGATTTTAAAAATAACACTAATTAGCCCTGGCCAGTTTGGCTCAGCGGCTGGAGCCTCAGCCTACGGTCCAGAGAGACCCAGGTTCGGTTCCTGCTAAGGGCACATACCTTGGTTGCGGTTTGTCCCCGGCCCTGGTTGGGTCATGCGGGAGGCAGCCACTCGATGTGTCCCTTTTGGGTCGATGTTTTTCTCTCTCTCTCTCTCTTCCTCTCTCTCCCTCCCACTGTACCTGAACAACAACAAAAAAAAAAATGGAAAAATGACCTTGGGTGAGGATAAAAAAAATAATAATAACACTAATTAAAGATAGATACTGTCAGTAAAAACATGAATGAAAAGGGAATAACACCCAAGACTTGAACCCTGAATCCATTTGGGGAAGTAACAGGAAAAAGCTGGGTGAGGCAAGGACTTTAGGAGGGAGTGATTCAGTAGGATTTTAAAGTAATAAAACAATGTTTGAGGTGAAGTCTTGTGGGTAATTCAAGTTTCTTCGCTTGGGGAGAAATGGGAACCCTTAGCATATGAAGATATGTCTCTGTTCTCTTCATGTTTAGTGGACACTCACAGCATGATGTCACGGTGAGCTGGCCAGTGGACAAGGGGGGATGTGAGTCTGGACAAGGGTCCGAGAAGGTCCAAGGGAAGGAGAGCAAGTCTCTGGAGCTGGGTTCGTTTTTGAGCAGATCAAGCTCCCCTGTAATGAACAACCCAGCCAGATTCCTTTCTCTGCCTCCTACAGTGAGCGAGACCTCAGGGGCTTCCCGCAACCTTCCCGGAGTTCTTCCCAGGTGCCGTGTTTCTTACACAGGCCTAGGTTCATCTATGCAGGAAAGGTCGGGGAGAAATACAGAAAAGTTTATTCCAGCTCTTTTCTATAGAACCTTATGTCAAAACCATACTAACTGAAAGACAGAAAGACATCTGTTTTCTCTCTGGCTTTTTATTTTCCTTCTCTTCTTAGTCTATTTATGCGTGTGCTTGAAGCAGAGAGAAGAAAGGGCAAAGATGCTATTCCTGGTCCCCCTTTTTCCTTCCTCAAAGCCTGACTGTGGGACAATCCTGCCAGGCAAGCGTGGGGGGAGCCTCCATTGGAAACGCTCAGCTCCAGCCTAGTCCTCAAATCAGAAACTGTTCCGCATTGATCTTGGCATTTAAAGACTT